ATAAATCATTTATTTATTTAAAATTATACTATTGTTACAATACAAATATTAATAGGATTAACAAAATACACACATCATTTTTACGTTAAATTTACACGATTCATTGATTTTGTGTGTATTCCGTTGTCCGAATATGTACACATTTCTTTTTAGAAAAATAGGGAATTTCACAATTTAAATATTTAAAATATTCATTTCGTTTTAGTAGTAAAATAATATATATTTATATATATAATATGAAATAAAAAAAAAAAACATATTGAACAGATAAAAAGGGGTTAAAAACATAGACAATTTAAAAGTACAAAATATATTTAAGTTCTGCTACATTCTATGAGGCTTTTACTATTATAACATACATCGTAGTAGTAGCGCATTTCAGCAAATAAAAAAGAGAGCGTTAAATATTGTAGATAATACATGAAAATAAGGTTATTATGGCAATCATAATTAAAACTATTATATTTTATAGTATTATTTTACCACCATTTATTAAGATTTTGATGTAATAATGTATATCGATAGAAAAAAAAGCAATAAACAATAAATGTACATCTGTCTACATTTGACACTTTTTATACCTAGTGTAAAACAAATATTTGCACATTTTAAAGATTTTTATTACTACTTTTTTTTTTTTTCGCATATGCTGTGTAAAATACATATCATTTTAATTATTATTGACTGAATAATTTAATAATTTAGAATATTTAAAAATCAAATAAAACTAAATTATTTAATAAAATAAAATGTTTTATCCTAATTTGTCCTAAAACATTATTAAATTATTTCCACTCATATATTAGGCTTCTAGATGTTCTTGTTTGTAGAAAGTACTGAAAAGTCATAGAAAAGCCTCTAAAATAAAAAGGTAAAGTTCTATCTTTTCATTAATCTTTTAATATTGGTACGTCATTACGTCTATGTTGTGGCATGATATTTATATTTTATATATTTTGTTTATTACTTTTATTTTTTTCTTTAGATTACTGCTTTCGAATATCTCTAAAGCAAAAGCATACTGAGACAAAGAAGAATTATTAAAAAAATTTTGAAAATGCAACGCTTAGAAATATCCTTGTATAAATATATTATAGTACCATGGACGATCAGGAGTTCATAGGGTTATTGTATCATATTAGCTGAAATTATGATACTACCGTAATTGAGTTTAATTTTATTAACTAGTTTATAATAAATAAGTTAATATCAATACGCACTAAAATATATATATAAGAAAAATGAGAAAGGTAATTATTATTTAATATATATAAATAAGATATTAATGTAATTTTGAGATAACCAATTACATGAATATATGTTATTTAAGTTGTTACACAAAATGTATATATATCATTAGAAGAGAATTATATAAAATTTTAATTTCAAAGATTGTAAGATCGTTTATATTTTTATTATTTATGTGTTTATTTAAAAATTATTGAACAATTAACAGAACACTTTCTTAGCAGTACATTTTATATCTGTGTTGTTAGAATAATGTATAACTTTTTTCATGTGAAAAATAGGTACATGAAAAAAATTTTGTGTGAAAATATATCTACACAGCAGTGGAAATTAAGAGTTCCTTGAAAAGTCAAAAAACAAATTTATCGAATGATTGTACGATTATATATTTTTCATGATAAAGAATGCGTAATTCTGCAATGACATTAAAATGTCTGTATATGACATAAGGTAAAACATATTTATAACAATACTTTAATTCATAATAATATAATTATTCAAGGAACAACATTACATAGATTATATCATAAATCTAAGAGTATAGTGCATATAATTCATATATACATATATTATACTAAAAAATAAGCATTTTACAAAACAATTATTTATAACATCTAATTAATTTATTCTGCACATTAAACAGTTGAATAATGTAAATTAATTTTCCCCCCCAATATGTAGACAGATATACAACATAAGGATATTATTTAATTCATAGATTACATTACAGAAAAATATAAAACTATAACTATCAATTGCATACATATATATTTGCTGAAATATTTTTTCCTTTAATCTTCACAACTCTTAATACGAAATAAAATGAGAGCAATTAAAATATAGAATAAAAAAAAAAGAAGAAAAAAAAGAAAAATCAAATCATATAAAATCATATAAAGTCATGTCAAATTATATAATAACAAATAATATCTAATTAAGTGAAAAAGAAAGGAAAATGGGAAACAGAAATGAAATTATAAAATATAAATGATTTTTAAAATAATTATTCGATTTAATTTATAAAAATCTTAAAGAATAAATTGAATTTTCCAAAAAATGCTTTAAATTTTTTCGATATACATCAATAAGGACACTTGTGGAAAGCTTGCCAAAAGTGTTCATAATAATTCTGAATTATATTTAATTCTGTCAGTTGGTTACTTTTTAAAATTGGTTATAACATTTTATAATAATAATTTTTGTTTTTACAATATTTTATTTATTTAATTTTATTTCCTTAATCTTCATGTTTATAATTATAATGATAAAATGTATTCTTATAAATGAACATATTTTGTATTTTTTAAGTTTCGTCTACACTTCTTTCTTTCTAGCATATTAATATTTGTAGTTAAACATACTTAAAATATAGACATATAATTTATTAAAGTTTATTTTTTTACAATGTTCTTTTCGTTGGTCTATCAGACGCTGCGGTAAGATATACGCAAAATGAAACTAAACAAGGTTCCATTTATTATTTATTTGAGATTTAATTTAAATTTTTTATTCATCAATTTTATGCTTCCTCTTTCTTGTTTTTATGTATATTCTTAAAAACTTTTCTTTACAATGAGCAGAATATATTACATATATCAAAGCTGTAATGATTATACTAACATTACAGATAATATTCGAACAAAAAATAATCTCATATTGAACTGTAAGCGAAATAATCTTGTCTTCTTTTAGAATTTATAAAAAAGTCTTCTAAATCATGGGATGAAAATTTGCGTGTACATCTTTTATTTACTTCGTGTTTATATTTCTTTCGTCTACTTCCCATATTGCTCATATAATATTCGGAGGGTAAGCTAATGTGGAATTGATAAATATATAACTCGTGCATAATATTACATGAATTATTTATGTAATAAAATAGAAAAACTTTTACATTATAATAACAGAAGAAAAGGGTTATTATTCCAATTATTAACAGGAGTACTGTAGAAACTCGTATATACTTGCTATTTACTATGTCAAACTCTTCTGGTGTCGTGCTAGAAGTATTATTATCATGTGCAGATAATATAATATGAAAGAAATCTAATGCATTAGAATTATCACCCCTACATCCTGCTTCAATATGATATGTTCCGAAGGGTATTTGGTCACTGACATGTGTACCACTTTCCAAATTAGACACATGTGTCTCTTAGCAGTACCATTGTGGTGGATCTGCGGGTGCAAATTTTGAACAAAGCGAGTTTCGATGCAAATAAATATAACCGATATCTATTCCTCGTGTGCTGGATGATGTGTGTTGTATCGTAGCTAATAATTGGGATTCGTAGAATCAAATAATTTGTTAGTGGTTGTTGCAATACTCTCTAATTGTTTTTTCTCACTTGCTTAATTTTGTAAAGAACTTATTTTATACAATAAGTTTTGTGGTTTGTAAGAGTTCCCACATTTAAAGTTCGTATCAGAATATCCCAAATCATCACAGCATGATTCCTTATCTAAATATTTTACATAGAGTTTACTAACGTTAGTAAGGTACTGATTATATAATTTGTGTCTACATTTCCCAAATCAGTTTTATTTTCAATATTGTTATAGTTTGGAAAATAATCATAAAATAACTTTTCTTTTTTCAAAAAATTTAAGTTATCTTCTTGAATAAATTAGGAAAGATTGAGATGCTGAAACTGTCCTCTACAAAGAGGATCCGTTACTTTATTTAATTTATGCATAAAAACCGGAGACGTATTTTATTGTACTTGGATTTCTAGACATTTTCCATACATCATTATATGACCAGTGCAAAAAATATGTAAAAACATCATTAAAACCTTGCGATTTTTTTTTATCTATAGTTTTAAAATTTCTTTCAATTTTTTGCAAAATGTACATAAATGATTCTTCCTTTTATTTTCAGGTGCTATTTCATTACACGTTATATCAAATTAAATACTTTCTACATTTTTGTTAAAATCATTTTATGCTTCATAAGACTTGAACTCCTGTAATATACTACCCTAAAAATTGAAAAAGTGTGTCAATATTAGGAGGTAGAAAAAATATTTTCTTATGATAATACAATTGCTCTTCGAATGGAATAGTAAACTCAAAAGGGTTTATATATATGTATATAATGATTTCAAAAGAAAATAAAATCATACTCAATCTTCATATTTAACTATCATTTTACTATAAGTTACATGAATTAAGTGAAGTAATTAAGACTGAAGTCGTATACACGTTAAGGCATATTATAAATTAATAAAAACTATAAATATATTGTTTAAAAGTCTATAAATATACTTTAAAATTAATGAAGCATTTTTTGACAAAAGAATTTATATACATTTCTGAATTTAATAATATTAAAGTGATGCTAATATATCAAAAAAAATTTACTAAGGAAAAAATTACATAAAATATAGGTATATTTAACAGCAAAAAAAAAAAAAAAAAATGCAATATTGTAAGGAAAAAATAAATTCCTCCAATTTTTAAGTAATATATACTCTTTTATAATCTTTTTAAAACTGTATTATATATAATTCTAATTTGAAAAGATCCATATTCCGGAAATGCTTATGTAATTTTGAGGATAATAAAAATATGGATACAGAAACACACACTTGACATTAAACTAATACTGTGTGTACATTATATTTTAGAATGCGTTATTTACAGTAATTCGCATTTATTTTTCATAAATCGGAACAAATTTTATTCCATTTTACACAATATCTTTAAGATAATATATTTTCAATGTTTTTTCAGTATTTTCGAAAATATTGTAATTGGAACAAATTTTCTTCTTTAAAGACCAAAATATAAGAGTAAATAAATCATACATCTTTATTTTACTTTGGGATAATTATTTACTGTAGAAGTTTCCATATACCTATACAAACAACAGAATCTTTCTTTTTACTTAATTTGTGAAATCGCTTTAAACACACAACTAAATACATTTTAATAAGAAATATTTACCTCTTTATTTGAATTAAGTAGAAAAATAAATGTAATAGCTTTTCCGTTTTTATAGAATTAATACAGAAAATAATACATTAAAAAAGGCGTGAAGAATTCATTTATTTTAATAGAGACATTTTTGAAAAGATTTAACACAACTGTTTTACACATAGTTTTTAATTTTACTGTTATTTCATAAAGATTAACTTATTGTCTATATTCAATTGACGTGCGACAAAAACATAAAAAATATATCATGTTGGTGGTTTTATGAATATATTCTCAAAAAATTACAGTATACTGTGGTCACGCATTATTGTTCTATTTAATATATTGGGATATGTGGAATTTTGTGAAAAAAAATGTAGAAAACAGTTCTGGCAGAATTCGATGTTTTTACACTATGCAGTAACTCATAAATTAATTGGTGTTCTTAAGAATGCATATTACAGATAAAAAACATCATAATAATTTAATAACTTTATGAAGGTGCAATAAAAACATAAACATTTTTTGCAACATATTCTTTAAATTTAGATAATTCTTTTATATGTTAACAATTTATGAAGTAATCGAAGAAAAATGAAAGAAGCACATTATATAAATTATTCACTTTTAATAAGTGCTATTAAAGCATGAAAAAGTAAATATATATATTAGATACAAATATTTTGTATTATTTTTTTTTTGATAATTTACTAGACAATGGGGAAAATATATAGTTTTATATTTATGCACATATATTAGTCATTCGTAAAGGTAAAACGCTTGTACTTTTGCTACGAATAGGATTATTCATTTCATCTATTATTAATAAAGCTAGAATTAATTTTATACAAATTAAGCATCATGTGAAAGTATATGAAAGGTCCGTTCTTATTAATTAAAGAAAACCTATACCATTTAAAATATACTTCAGACACTACATTATTATAACATGCTATTTCTATGTTAATTTAGGATGATTTACTATTTTTTTAAGTATTAATATATGTCATTTAAAATTTACAATATCATTTACTTAAAAAAAATTTATGGTTCAAATTTGTAAATAAATAATTGACAGTAAAAAAAATTTTAAAACAAAAAAAAAAAAAAGAAAAAATGCTAAAGAGTAATCATATTCAATAACGATAAATTAAAATTATCATTGCGTACATAAACAAAATATATTAAAATTTAAAGATAATCTGTCTTAAGATAGTTAAATCTGTACAAATATTTTAATGTAATACCTCTTAAAAGAGTTTATAATTCACTTTACATGAATTATTAATTTTCTTATTATACTTTGTGACTAAAATTGCCCATTTGTGAATAGGCATACTTATATATATATTTCTAGTTTTCTTATCAGCTAAAATGAAAAAATTTAAGACATAAATATGGTTATTACACTGATACATATTACTCCACAATACTTCATAATTTTTGAGGGGCTATTTTGTTTATGTCGCTTAACACCATATATTATTAAACAAAAGCTTCTTTTTTAACTACTTTTTTATCTAATTAAATTCAGTTATGCATATAAAATTTTTTTATGATAAGCGCATAATGACACTGCTGTTAAGAGTACTAAGGTATACGAGAAGGTAACGGTAAAGTTTCTACGAATTCTTGTAAACTATATTTATTCTTTTCTTTGGAGGATGTTGAGGTATATAATCTTGAAAGTAATTAGATGATTCTTCGTTAGGTTCTCTATAATGAATCTTTTTTTTTTTTCTTCTTCCACCTTTTATTCTATAACGTAACCATGATCCAAATGGAGTGAACTAATATACAAATGAATAAGGAAAAATCATTTGTAATTACATTAATTTTTCATTATGAAGAGAAATTGCTTAAAAATATTGATATAGAATATTTATATATAAGGATAAATTTTATTGTACTTTATAATACAGGAAGAATACGAAAATTGCACCCAGTGCTATAAGGATTACTACGCCTATTCGAAAAGGAAGAATTTGTAATATTAAATTTGTATATGAAGTATCAATAGGAAAAGTCTCCTCACCCATGTTTTCCGCACCATTTCCTTGCACAATATTTTTATATTTAAGGCTCGCTGATTTTATTTGATTGTTGTACCCTTTGGATCTTTTACAATACTCTTCCATTCCTTCTTTTGGTGTTCCATTTGCACAGGCTATTTCTGCTTCTTTGATGTAATTTTCTCGAGCTTTTCCTTTTACTTCTGGAAATAGTGTGTAACCAGTTTTAACTATTGATGTACCTGTAGCGTTTTGCCCAGCTATTTTTACATATGCATTAGTTAATAGAACTGCATTTACTGATTTTCCATTAATTGTTATCTCTTTACCATATAATCCCTCTTCATTGAATTGCTGTTTATACACAGGTCTTACGGGATAATGTTGGTTAATTAAGTGTGGACTATACGATGGTTGCTGGCATCTTAAGCCACTCTTTTCAAAATTAGAATGAGTAACTTCTGAGCACGTGAAATATTTAATAAACATATTTTTTTCTGAATTAGGATCAAAATTTGTCAAATTTTTAGATTCGTTATGCTTAATTAATTCTATTATTTCCTTACATTTTTCTTTAGTGCTAGATTTTAGCGCAGATAAAAGTTTTTGTGGATCATATGATTCGTCACAATGCAAAAAATAACTGGGACATAATTCTGCACCCCAGGAACAGCACTCGTCTTTGTGTCTTTTATGCAACAAACTAATATATTCAAGATATGGAATGTATTTATCATTTTGCATATTTTCACAATTAATTTTTTTTTTAATTTCTTCATGATTTTTAAAATATTCATATAAATGTTTCATCTCTCTACATTCATGGATTTTACAATTGTAATTGAGAAAACAAGGCTTAAACTTAGTTAATTCATCAGAGTTAACAAACATAAATGGTCTTTTGTTTACTTGTTTTGTATCAGAACTACCTGTTTGTGAGTCTCTTGTTGAACTATCTGTATGTCTACCTGCACTTCTTTCTACATCTCCTTTTGCATCTCGTTCTGTGTCTCCTTTTGCTTTAGTCCCATTATGGTCATCACTTTTTTTTTCTGGAAATTTTCTAAAGTAAGGCAGTGTATGAGTTCCATTATTGTCTGATAATACTTCATTTTGAGAAGTAATATCTGCATTCTGCTCCCCTATTTTTGCTTTATTTTCCCTTGGAGGAGATTGTTTAACTATATGTTGATAGTTTTTATCAAAATCTTCATTAATTAAATAATTATTAATTTTAATATTAGCATCAAAAAGATTAGAAACTTCAGGTATGTCCAAAATATATTCATTTTTATTTTCATATAACTCAATGATTTTATCATATATCCAAAAATTTAAATAAGTACATCTATCCCTATGATTTTCTTCATTCAATTTATCAATTATTGATAATTCATTTATATTCCGCACCATTTTTTCACAAATAGTTTTAATATCTTTATTTAAGCTATCACAATACGTATAATTATAATTTTTACTATTAATACCAGAATCACCTTTTCTAAATTCCTTAGAGACTTCCTTGCTTAATGCTTCATATATTTGGGAAGGAGGTAACTCTCTGACAACATTTTCCTAAGGAAAAAAACATATTGTTGTATAAATCATAAATTTTAAGAATAATATTTTATTATAATGCAAGAAATATGAGATGATACATTAATGCATTACTAAAAAGTGTATTAATAAATAAAATAACGAACATAATCACTTTTTATTTTGGCGGTGTATACTTCATAACCCGGTGATATATTTTGTCTTGTGTAACTTTCTTCATTATTTCCCTGCAATGGGTTTGAGTTTTCTGTACTTTTTGGTTTTTCAAAATATGAACTATACGTGTTACACTTTGTTTTTAATAAGGATAATGTATTTTCATCATTAAATTTTTTTCTAAAAAGTACTAATTCATTTTCATATCTATTCAATAATCCACGTTTTCTTTGTTGTTCTTCTTCTTTTTCTAATTTATGATATAAACTGAACATATTTGCAATATATTCACAAGAAGATGCTTCTATAATTTTTTCTTCTGTTGATTGTACATTTATTATGTAATTGTAATATTCTAAAAAATCATATAATAATTTCTTATATTTTAATACGTCTGTAGAAGTGAATATTTTAATATTATCTTTACATATACATTTATCATTAGATCCAGAGCTATATTTACACAAGATTTCCTTTAATCTATTGTAAATCCAAGAAACATCAGAAAATTTTAGGTCCTTTTTTTTTTCTATCTTATCATACAACCAATAATTAACATAATCACAGCATTTACCTTTGTGTTGTTCTGATGATGAACAAATTGTATTCCATTGTTTAAATATGTGCTCAATACGGTAACAAAGATCACGTAACTTTTCATTTTCCGGTTTATTACATATTTCAGAAATAGGGCCATTTTTTGCTTGTCCATCTAATGAGGAATAGAATTTATATAATTCTGATTTCTTCAGGGTTAGACTCTACGAATAAAAATAATTTTATAGTTATTTATGTATTTATTTCACACCCAAATTGTTGTTATTATGAGGAAAAAATAATTTGTCAAAATAAAAATCTAAAAAATTTCATATTTGTAATACCTTAGAACATACCTGTTCTACAAATTCATCAAAGTTAAAAGTTACATCATTTTTACTCATTTTTATTAAATGACAAGTAATTTTTTTTATAATTATCAATGGGAAAAAGCGAGAAGAATCGATTGATGGATCATATTGTATTTTTTTTTAAATTAAGATAAAAATAAATGTGTCAATTTTCTGGTTTTATATTTACACCATATTAATATGTTACATATTGTAATAAGTATTTATATTTACAAAAAAAGTACGATAGAGATGCTTTTTTAATAATATGAATTAACGAATGGTATATTGTAGTATATTATAAAAAAATTTAGATATATGCACATATGCTTTTTATTTTTATCATAAACCTTTATGATATAGAGAATGAATTTCTTAAAACATATGCAGATTATGTAAATTGGGTTATCATTTTTTTTAACAATTGTTTTTCCTAGAACGATAACGTTTATTGTTATGCTTATCATGGTTGTAGGAGAGATAATGAAAAATTTTTCCTTCTTTTTATATACACAATAATTCAGCTTCTATAGATAATAATAAATTTTACAATTTCTCTTTATTTTCATTAACACTGCATAGGATCATATTAGTACTAATTTTGAAATAAGGAGAAATCTAGACTATTTAAAACGTATAAATAATATTTTTTATTAAAAAATAATATGATATATGAAATATATGTTGTTTAACTTAAATGATAAAGCAGTTTAAATTGAAAATTAATTATAGTGTTAATTTTATACTTTTATAAATGTGTCTTATATTTTTTAATAAATGGTAAGCACATTATATATTGTTTTAATATAGGGGGAGAATATTGCTTTTTTTTTTTTTTTTTTTTAAAGAACACTGAACCCGTAAGATAAATAAAAACACATATTATATTTAAATATATAAAAAATAATTAAGACAATGAAATGTTACAAAATATTTTTAAAAGAAAAAAATCAAAATAAAATATTAAAAAGAATCATTTAAATTAGATAATTGAAAAATAATAAAAATAATTATAAGAAAATTTCTAAACACTTAAAATGGAAATAAAAATAAAATTAACTTCTATACATATTGTTCTTATATATTAAGCATTTAATTATTTGTTATTATTTATAATACATATATTACTCTTTTAGCTAATGAAACAATAACAACAGGCTACATCCTGATCATTTGATTCATACCTTTCCTTTATGAACAGATCTTTGTAAATAATGACGACATAATTCAAGAATTAAATTAAGTATATATTAATTTTTATTTCCATTTTATTCAAAATATTATATTTAAAATGTCTTGAAAATGTTATATAATAATAGCCGAGTGATTTTTTTTTTTCCTTGAAACATATTTAAATATTTTTATCGATGATTTAAATAAATTAAAATAAGTACACAATATAGCACTATAAAATAGAAAATTACATCGTACCATTAATTAATTTAGAATGAATTTCTTATTTTACATATTCTGTGCAAAAAATATAATAAACTCATCAAACAATACATTTTTTTTTTCGTAGTGATATTTATCATTTCAGTGTTTTTATATACGAAAAATAAATGCAATTAAAAAATTAACGCAATCTCAATTTATTTTTTCCTCCTTTAATTATTTATTTGTTTCATTTACTAGCATATTTATTCACTCCTCCATTTAGAAATATATAAAGGAATAGTGAATATTAATGATAATATACGCTACCATGACAATTAAAGTATTATTTACAATAAAAAAAATGCTTTTTATTTTAATTTTCTCTAATATATATTAAAATACGCATATATTTGCAATAATTTTCCTAAGAAAATTTACATACACCCTATATTTAACGTAATATATTAAATTAGGTACTCCTATATATTTATAAAATTTTATTTTATATTATTTAAGCTTCACAATAATGTGCTAATCTAAGCAGCAGTATAGGACCGAATAAAATGTCTGCGTCTTGTGCTTTATAACACTTTTAATAGTTTTTTAACAAATCCATAACAAGACTTAAATCAGTCATATTTATTATTATTATTTTTTTTCTCGGTATTATAATTGGACAAGTGTATTTACAGAGTAGTAATTAAATAAAACATATAGTTATATATATTATACCATAGGATGTATATATATAAGTATAATATATAGAATAAAAAATGTGTTACATTAATATTTTCCTAAGTTTGTTTACTATAGTAATGGCTAATAGTTTACATATGTTATATTATTTTTAAATAATTCACATCACTTCACAAAATTATTCTAGTACTATGATATTCAGTGGGGATTTTTATTTATATTAGCATTTTCAGTGAATTTGGCATTATGGAATAATAGGAAAATTATTGGTAACTGATAATATTTATTTATAAAAAAACAAAATTTCAAACTGAACACTCATTAAATATAATAATAATAAATTATTTCTTATAGTAAATGCGTACTGTGATATATTTGTTACATTACACTTTGTAAGCAATTTTCAAGGGTTATTTGCTCCATTATTGTTGTTACATTATCACTATTAAGCTAATCTTTATTGCGAATATCGGACAATGATAAAATGAGAAATTTGCACAGTATATTTAATGTTGATTATATAGTATAAGCATACTCGCAATAATATTTATAATTTTTATCATTGTGAAATAAATTAGTTTCATGTTGATAGAATTACATGTTAAGTGATAAAGAAAAAATGTTCAAACCAGGAAATGATTATCACTAAAAAATATAGTTATTAATATGATAAATTGATTGTTTTATAGTATATATATACATAGAAGAAATGCCCCCAAACAAATAAGTCTTTTATTTCAAGAAGGCTTTTATACGTTCATAATTATTTTTTTTCTATTATAATGCATTAATAAAATTCTCTATTAATTATTCATATTATAGACTCTGAACCATGTTTACTTATCTAGGTGCTTATGGAATTTTGCTTATCATATAGTCATGTGAATATAAAATTATTTTTCCCTTGGCTTTATATGTAAAAGAACTGAGTAATTGTAACATTGTTTTCCTTTGAACATATTTATATCATTATATATATATATATATAAATAGTAGCATAGATCTGTTTGAAGACAAATATAGCATATTTATAATGCTATGTATTGTAGAAAATAAGCTTTAAAGATATTTATATTTTTTATACAAACAAGATATGTTGACAAACGAAAAATAATACAAAATTTTTTTTTTTTGGGATAACAGATTATTATAAATTAAATTACTTTTTGAGTACATAAATGTGAGCATATTAATTGTAATGTGTGATGTTCGTTCTATATTTGTGTAGTAGTATGGTATACAAATAACACTTAATTCGCTAATGTAAACTTAATTCTGCATTTTTTATGTTCATGGACAATATTTTTTGAGACACTGTTTAATAATAAAAAAATGTAACATTAGAGTTTGTAAAAACAGAGAAATCAAAATAGCAATATTATGAATATATCCTTGCATTATGGTTCTCCCATAGTACACTGATAAACATATATTAAATTTCAAAAAATATATATTTTATTTAATGTATATTCATTTATAATAAGTCTATATAATGCTATTTGAGTTATACTTTTCCTAATAAAAATGAATACAGTTAAATGAACATAAGAACATTCAACACAATATTTAGACAATAAAGTGGATGGATTATAAATATTCTTTTTAGTATTATATAAGTACAACATAAAAAAATACACTTTTTCAATATAAAATAAATAGCATATGCCATTTTTTCATAAAACAAATTTAACTATAAAATATTTTTATTAGTTCAAAGTACTAATTAAAATATACATATACATTGAATTGTAAACTCCACGCGGAATAAACATAAATAAAAACCATATATTGAATAAAAATATAAAATATACAAAAATAAATTGTATATAATCATTTTCTTTAATATATGTTGAAATTTTATATATGTATATGAAAATATTTTTAATATGTGGAAATTACATTTGATAATGTATGCAATGTTAAAATAAGCTTATTCTCAAAAAAACACACCATAATGATTCATATATATTAAGTTTAAATATTAAAATATCATAAAATAACAATTTTAAATGCAGTAGGAGAATAATAGAGTATATAATAAAATCATAGATATATATCGTTACGAAATTTTACTATTTTATTTATATTTTTCCACTTAAGTTGTTGAAAATTAAATATTTAATTGCGATATTTTGTGATTAAATAATATTCCTAGTGTGTATTATAATTTAGAATAAAACATATTAATATTAAAATAAAGAAAAAAATTATTAATTATATTCGTTTAAAAATATTTATAGATCACACTGTACCCATTTTAAGGGTTTTAAAGAGAACACAAAAGGTTCCAAATAAATCAAATGTTAGTAACGCTGGTTCGAGAATTTGAAATGTTTATGAAAATGAACAAGGAAAAAACATTAAAGCTGGTTCTACTAGAAAAATTATTAAATGTGTATTGATCAATTGTGTAACTGGTGTTACTACCTTTTTTGTCTATTTTAGTAGTATTATTTTGTCTATGCTTTTCTAAATTAGTTACATAATTAAATACAGAGTAAATTTTTTCATAATGCTGGTCTATTCTTTTAAAAATATCAGCTTACTTCTTCTATGACGTTTTTTTCTATATACGTTTTCACTTTATAAATATTAATTGTGTATATTAAAGTATACACTTTTTTGTGACTGTACATATTTGTTTTCCATGCTCATATATTATTAATAATATTTTATTTCATAAATAACATGTATCTTGTATTTTATGTATCTTATTAAATGATTTTCTATAGTTATGTTAAAAAAAAAAAAGCCATAATTATTTTTAAGAAAACATAATATAGTTAATTTGAAAAAAGAATTCACATAAAATATGTGAAAAAATAGTAATGTGTGTATATATTTATTACAATTTTCCATATACCATTGTGAAAATAATAGGAAACTCACGATAAGATCGTAAATTTCAAAATTTTAATTAATAATAGGAATTTACTATATTTTTTGATGGATAATTGTGCATTATGGAAAGAATATTTTTT